ACACATAATGAACACAATTACTTCCCTTCCCCAGAGTGGGCAGAGGGAGTGAGCAAGAAGAGGACCAAAGAGCAGTGAGGGATCAGTGAGGCTCTGGGAAATTGAGGGGGAAGGATAATGAAAGTGACAGGCTAATGATTCCTTCCTGCAAGAGAAAAACCCAAGGCCTGAGACACAGTCTCAGCTGCAGGGAGCAGGGCTAAAGCACATTTACATCTGCATCTTCTGAAAGAAACATGATCGTGCTCATAGGTGCAGTGAATCAGTCCTACCTTCAATGCAAACACACTAGAAAGCAGAAAACAGAAAAGAAAGAAAAAGGAGAGACAAATCCTGACTGGGAGACATGCAGCGCCTTCTACTACTGGCCTCGGCACCCACTGAACTATTAAACACCTTGCAGTTTGCTTTTTGGATGCTTAGCAAGGTAGAGTGAAAAGAGCACAGAATTTAGAGTCAAATCCTGGTTCTTCTTTTTCCATGTGACCCCAGGTTACAGGAGACATCTCTCTGAGTGTTAATTTCACATCTATAATGTGAAGCTATCAGGTCCAAAGTCCAAAGTCTCATCTGAGACCAAAAGCAAAAGTCATTCCAGCTGTGAACCTGAACAACAAAACCAAATTTATCTACTGCCAAGATACAATGGTGGAACAGACATTGGGTACAGGTTCCCATTCCAAAAGGGAGAAATAGGCCAGAAGAAAGGAAAAACAGGCCCCAAACAAGTCCAAAACCCAGCAGGGCAGACGTTATGTCTTAAAGCTCCAAAATAATGTTCTTTGACTCCAAGTCCTGCATCCTGGGCACAGCTGGGTATTTGGGCCCCCAAAACATCAGGCCCAGTGGGCCATACTGATGCCTTTGACTTTTCCAGGCCTGTGTTGCACATTACCAGTGTCCCTGCAGTTCCAGGGTCCTGGCGGCAGCCCTGCTGCATTGGCTGTGCTACACATTTCCCTGGTGGGGGCTCTCTGTGGGGTCTCTGACCCCACTTTCCTGCTCAGTGTTGCTCTAGTAGATGTTCTCTGTAGTGGCTCCACCCCTGCATCAGGTCTCTGCCTGGGCTTCCAGGCTTTTCCATACATCCTCTGGAATCTGGGTGAAGGCTGCCATGCCTCCACTGCTCTTACAGCCTGCCGGCTTGCAGACTTAACACAATGTAGATGCCACTGAGGTTTTGGGCCTCTACTCTCCAGGGCTGCTGCACGAACCATGCTTGGGGTCGCTCCAGCCAGAGCAGCTGGGATGCAGGGAGCAGGATCCTGAAGGCAGCTGTGCCCCAGGTCTGTCCTCCAGGATAACTCAGTCCTTCTAAGCTTCAGGGCCTGTGATGGGTGGGGCACCCTTCCAGACTTATGAAATGCCTGCAGGGCTTTCCTCTCATTTTCTCCGCTATTAGCATCTGGCTGCCTCACCACCAAGGTAATGTCTTTAGCAACCAGTTTATCTGCTTCACCCTTGCATTGTTTTCTGGCTCTCTGCTTCTTTACCACATGGCCAGGTTGCAAAGTTTCCAAATTTTTACACTCTGCTTCCATTTTAAATTCTGGCTTTACATCATGGCTTTGCTCCCATAACTCAGCATAGGCTGTTGCAAGTAGCCATGAAGCTTCCTTAATGCTTTGTTGCTTAGAAGTTTCTTCAGCCAAACGCTCTGGTTCACAACTCCGAAGTTCCAATTTCCACAAAGTCCTAGAACATGGACACAATGCAGCCAGGTTCCTTGTCAGTTCACAGCAAGGGTAATCTTTGCCCCAGTTTCCAATAAACTCCTGATTTCTATCTGAGACCTCCTTAGAAGGGTCTTTACAGTCCATATTTCTATCAGCCTTCTGCTCGCCACCATGTCTCTAAGACATTCCAAACTTTCCTTCATCTCTTTGTCTTCTTCTGAGTCTTCCAAACTCCTCCAACCTTTGCCTAGTACCCAGTTCCGAAGCTGCTTCCACATTTTCAAGTATTTGTTATAAGCAACACCCCACTTCTCTGGTACCAATTTTCTGTCTTAGTCCGTTTTTGTTGCTTATAACAGCGTATACTGAACTGGGTGATTTATAAAGAAAATGAAATTTATTGCTGGACACGGAAAAAAGACAAAAGATAAAAAAAAAAAAAAAAGAAAAGAAATTTCTTTGGCCAAATGCTCTGGATCACAACTCTTAAGTTCCAACTTCCACAAAGTCCAAGGGCATGGACACAATGCAGCCAGATTCCTTGCTGTGGTGTAGCAAGTGTTATCTTTGTCCAATTCCCAATAAGTTCCTCAATTCTGTCTGAGACCTCATCATCCGCATGGCCTTAACTGTCCACATTTCCATCAGCATTCTGCTCGCCACCACATAAGTCTCTAAGACATTCCAAACTTTCCCTCATCTTTTTCTCTTCTTCTAAGTCTCCAAACTCCTCCAACCTTTGCCCATTACCCAGTTCCAAAGCTGCATCCACATTTTCAAGTATCTATATAGCAACACCCCACTCCTCGGTACCAATTTTCTGTTTTAGTCCATTTTGTATTGCTATAACAGAAATACCTGAGACTGGGTAATTTATAAAGAAGAGAGGTTTATTTGGCTTATGATTCTGTGACAGCTGCATCTAGCACGGGCCTTAGGCTGCTTCTACTCATGGCAGAAAGTGGCAGGCAGCTGGCGAGTATAAGCAGATCACATGGCGAGAGGAAACAAGATAGAGAAGGTGCCAGGGTCTTTTTAAGCAACAAGCTCTCACGGGAACTAATAGAGCGAGAACTCACTCATTAATTCCCCCTCCCCCAGGGAGAGCATTAATCCATTCATAAGGGATCCGCCCCCATGACTCAGTCAGTTTCCAACACTGCCACATTGGAGATCAAAATTCCACATGAGTTTTGGAGGGGACAACACATCCAAACTCCATCACCCATGATCCACTAGTTTCACTCCTGAGCATTCACCTAAGGGAAATAAAAACATATGTCCATAAAAACATTTGTACAAAATTGTTCTTAGTAGCTATATTCATAATAGTTAAAAATTGGAAGCCTAAGTATACATCAATAGGAGAATGAATGTACAAACTGTGATATATTCACACAAAGGAATACTATCCAGTAATAAAAAGGAATGAACTACTGATATATACAACAGTTTGGGTGAGTCTCAAGAACATGCTGAGTGAGAGGAGCCTTACACAAGAGAGTTCATACCGAATGGTTTCATTTAGAAAAGTTTCAGAACAGAAAAGTGAAACTTATTAGAAAAAAATTAGGACAATGGTTACCTTTGGATAGGTGGGGATGGGGAATGACTAGGAAGAGGTATGAGGGAACATTCTGTATTGTGGTAATGTTCTGTTCCTTGATAAGGATTTGCATTACAGGTATAGGCATTGGTCACTGCATATACCCAGGCATATGCAAATGATTCAGATTTGTGCATTACATAGCCTATAAATTTTACCTCAAAAGGAAAAGAACTATAAAAAATATCAAACAATGGTATGCAAACTGAAGTATTTAGGTGAGAACTTTATTGATGTATACAAGGGAACTTTATTGATGTATACAACTTACTTTGAAATGTGTAAAAACTATGGATTAACAATCAAATAGAGGGATGACTAGATGGACAGATATATGATAAAGTATAGAAAATATTAATTGTAGAATCTGGGATCTGGCCAGTTAGCTCACTCAGTAGAGCATGGTGCCGATAACAGCAAGGTCAAGGGTTTGGATCCCCATTCTGGTCAGCCACCAAAAAAAAAAAAAAAATGTGTGTGTGTGTTTGTGTATATAGTACAATCTAGGTGGTAGGAGTAAGGGTGTTCACTATAAAACCCTAACAACTTTTCTTTATGTTTGAAAATTTGTATAATAAAATTGTGGTGGAAAATAACAGCTCAGGTTGGAAAGTGGAAGGCAGTTGATTAGCTGAAACATTTTTATTTTGGTTTTTAATGGTATAATGTCCATTTGTGTTACTGCGGTTGAGTAACTCGCTTCTAAAATTAAATTTAAACAATATTGTAAAAGGTTAACAAAAAAGGACTTAGCTAAAAGGTCTCTTGGCCAGATTCCCAGCTTCCTAAAAGCCTTTCTCAGGCTGAGCTTTTGCTCAGACTCCTCTGAGGCTGTCTCAGATAGAGGGGAGGAGGGAGCAAGGTGTTCCCTGGACCTTCCAGATTCTGCATGGGACCTCAGTAATGGGACTGGCCAGCTCTGAGCAGACC